GGTTTTAACACAATATGTTCTAATGGTAAAAATATAGTTTCATTTCATCAAAATTGAATTCAAAGATTCTTTAATTTCACTTCATCATAATTGAATTCAAAAGATTTTTTATTGGATTCTTTAAGAACAGCTACCTTCACTGAAGAACCGGTCAAAGCACCCATGTGAACTCATGTCTAGGGGATTTTCTAGGCTGGCGACACACATCTAGGTGACTAAAGAATTTATTTAGTTAATGGTGGAGATACATTAGTGACTATTTACAAATGGAAAAAAAAGAGTGATGATTGGAAGGTTACATCTTAGTCGGAAGCATGACCTCCTTATTTTCCATCATCCATCTTATCGGGATACCGTTAGTTGTGTTGAGTTGTCGCACTCCTGCTTCTCACATACATGAGTGTTGTAAATGAAGATTTTTTAATTCGAATTCTAATGTTGGCAGCTTTTGTAGTTGTTGATATTATTCTTTGAAGGAAATTTTATTTTAAAAGAAAATACATTCTTACACATTATTTTAAAGGAATACAATTGGGGAGTTCTTCATTTTGGAAAAATTGAATCATATTATTCTAAGTTTTTCAACCATTTTTTATGAAAATATACAAAATTTCATACCTTTAAATCATAAAATTTGTTCATGAGTATATGCACTCAGAATTTAATCTTTGATAGGTAACTATATGCTCTACCTTTTCAACGGATGCAAGAGTTATTATTAGCAAAAGGTTTCTATGAATTAATCTCTTGAAAGTTAAAAAAAAAAAAAAAAAAAAAAAAAAAAAAACTGCTTTTTCCTTGAAATTTTGTTGTTCCAAAGAAATTTAAGTGGTAAAAGATCATTTATTTTATGTCCACTACTGAAGTATTTTTATGGCAAATGTAAGTAGATCAATTTAATGGATGACGATTTGTGTATTACAAATAGTGATATCAGTTTTGAATTTTATCCTGTGAAATAGTAACTAATAACTAAGCCAATAATAATTTAAATTTAATGTTAAAATTAAGCTATTTATGCAGTTTTAAATTTTTTAAAATTTTTTTTATAAAATTATTTTTAGAATTGTGTATTTGATGAGATTTTTAACAATCTATTCGTGTTTGTTTCACATTATTCATCAACAGTTTTTTAATTGTATTGCCAATTTCATAAAACTGTTAATAGCTTTTTTATTGCTTCCTTTCCAGTCAAGAGTTTTAATATGCAGTGCTTTTCTATATTTTATTAATGTTGGCAGGTTACCACTTTCTTCTGTATCACCTTCAGTGCCAATTTCCATAGTTCTTTTAATACATTCTAAAATGTCATGTCATTTTTTTACATATTTTCTTAATATTGTCTACTAGTAATGTAAACTTAATTATTTGCTTTGAAATGGTTGCATTTTTGCAAGATTCAATTATGTTTATTATTTTCTGAACATTGTTTCTCTGATTACATTTGAAAACTTTTCCTGATTTTAAGGTTGAATGATAGGAGTTGAATTCGCAGGAAAAGAAATTAATATTTTTGAGCAAGAGATGTATGTGCTGCACAGTTATCTAAATAGTAAAGTCCCCCCCCCAGTTTACTGTTCCATTAAAAAAAAAAAAAAAAAAACAGTAAAAGTACTATTTTTGATCCGTGAGTTCTTGTTGGTGTGGCAAGTTTGAAGAAAATTCTTGATTCCTTTCAAACACTGGGATTTTCTGCTTTTGTCAATAAACAGTGCTGGCTTCTTAATTATTGGTTTCATATTGCATGTTAACAACATACTAACTTATTCCTTCAGTTTCTTAAACATTCTGTAAAACTCTGTAGTTTTATCTGTATTATAAATTTCAAGTGGCTTGTATTCATTTAGTAGTCCAAATAAAACATCGTATTCAGTAATCAGTCATATAATGATCTGCCTCTTCCTTCTCATCATGCGCCCACCAGCGGCCGAGTAGTAAAGTCGCTGAACACTGGTAATTCGGTCCGAGGTTCGAATCCCGTGAACAGGCTGGCTGCATGGGCATTTTCATGGTTTTCCCCATGTGTAACATGTATACGAGCCAGTTTCCCTTAGAAAGTCCTCCACGAAGGCATCCCTTCCCTTAGGCAAATAGCCCTCAAGGCTTTGCTGTAATTAAATAACCTAACCTTTTCACCATGCAGTTAAGATTTAAATTTTTCTCGTAGGCATTTTCAAAGTGTTAAAAGTTGAGCATGCAACAAATTTTAAAATAATGCTTTTTCCAGTGTTATCCAAAATTTTGCAACTCTCATTTCTAGCCAGCAGAAGGTTTACATATTGTCTCCTATTTCAATCTGCCATTTATGATTATAGACATGATAAATGCTTTTTGTGCTTTTTCTTCAGTTACAAACATTTCATTTACAAATTGCTAATGGGCAATAATACTGAGAAGTATTTAATGAACTTTTTTTGGAGTGGAAGGATGAAATCCTTTTGATTTACCTCAGAATAGATCACTCACGACATATGCATAGTTATCTATTAAAGGGCTGAAAGTGAGCTTCTTTGTGCAAGTTGTAATGAAGTTTTATCCATGCATCACATTTTAGTGTGTTACCTATTGTTTGATACTCATCTGAAGTGCCTTGGTGACCATCAAGTGAATCTTGACAACTTCATTGGGAAAAGTTAAATTTAAATTAATTTAGGTTTTGAATGTAATTTAATTTAGGTTTAAATTAAATTAGGTTTTGAAAAGAAAATGGATTATGTCATTTATTCAGATTTTATTTTATTGCCTTAGTAATGTTAACTCACTTCATGTATAGAAATTTTATCTGGTTTTATACTTGAATTCATCTGAAAGCTTTCGATTCACTCTTCTCCATCCCATGGTTTGCTCATCAATGCATTTTATTTTTTGTATCATTATTTTGACATAGTACCTACTACTATTTTGACTATTTTGACATACTACCTGTACTATTTTGACATACTACCTGTGTGTTTAGTGATTTATGGCTTTTTAAGGCTATGGTGCCATTAATTTCAGTCCTGGGAATATTCCACTATTCTTTGAATAACTTCTGACAACTAACTTGCAGAGACTAATTTAATAGATTTAAACATTATTATAAATATTGCAGAATTAAAGAGGATGCACTACTTTACATCCATGTTTGTTTTGTCATTATTTTAGCGATAATTTTAGTGTTAAAATATTTATACTGAAGTGAAAGTTTGATTAAAGAATAACTAGTAAATCAGATTGAAAGAATTGACAAATGACATGAAAAACTCAAGTTTTCAAACAAAAAATATTTTGATATATCAATAAACTCAGGAAAGATAACAAATGAAGATATTTATTTCAACAGCAGCTTTAAGTGTTAGAAACTTACTAATATCCTCCAGCTCTGAGAAAACTGAATTTTATCGGTTTTTCAGGTATGAAAGAACAACTATTTGTTAAGATATACAGTGTATTGTTTCACTTTCAGAAAGTGTCTCCTAACATTTTGAAGTATCCGCAAATGAATATTGTTTATAAAAGCTGCAAGAGAAAAAAACAAGCATTGTTTTTGTTTACTATTGCTGTGATTCCTAGTTGCGGTTGCTGTGGGTTACTATGTATAAAAAGGGGGTGATTACTTCAGATTTTGGTATTCACCAAGGGTTACTTCAATTTGCATGCCAAAATACTTTAGCTTTGGAAGTTTTTGTAATAAATATCCTTGTTATTAAAATTAATTTAAATAAAAAAGTGTGCTGCATCAAAACAAATAAAAATTTACTTTTGAAAACTCTGTATCATTTCATTTTGTGCAATGGTCTTTAGAAAATACTATTCATGGGTAAAACATCATGTAAAATAAAGTATTATTTAAAAATAAATTATCTTATTATGGGTATTTTGTTTCAAACATTGTTAGTTACTACTAAGCTGCTAGAGGTTTCAACAAATCAGATTTCTATATAAGATACAATAAAACCTCCATAAGATGATGACTCGCTGCTCCAGACAATTTTGGTCTTTGAGAGTAGTCACTTAAAAGACGCGATATTTATTGCTGATATTTATTTATGCCCTAAGACATATGTCATTTTCAGTGATGGTTAATATTTTTTTTAAAAAGCACAAAGTGTGTATTTTAAAGAGTGTTCCTGAGAGGCATAAAGTTGGATATTGTAATTGCATTGCTTGTAAATTTTATAATTTTGTATGTTTGATGAAATTAGCAAGGCAAGATCATTTGCTTCCTTTGTAGTGCAACTTATCAGAAGTTTTGAGTTGATATATTTATTATGTGTGCACTTTATACACCATGTTTCAAAAAGAATATATGTATTACAAAGTGTTATTTTGTCTAAACTATCGATCACTGCGCCTCAGCTTGGCTATTGGTGAAATATATTAATAGCCGCTAGATGTCAATTGTCTCTTCTGTTTTACGTGGTAACCGTCACACGTTTAAAATGGCTACTCCGAAGCAGAAATGTCAATTGTCTCTTCTGTTTTACGTGGTAACCGTCACATGTTTAAAATGGCTACTCCGAAGCAGAAAATCATTTTGTGTTCTCGAGTTTGACACCTTGTGTCTTCTTTCTGTGGGGTTTCATTAAAGACATCGTTTATGTACCACCACTCCCACAGAACCTGGAAGAGGTGAATCCGTACTGTCATAACATTAGTGATGACGGACACGCTTGCCTGAGTATGGGAGGAATTTGAGTATCACTGTGATATTTTTCGTGTTGCTGATGGAGGACATATTGAACATCTGTAATCTGAACTTGAGAGGTACATATGTGTGTAAAGTTTCATATTCGTATGGTCATACAGTTTAATAAATATATGCATTCGAAATACATATATTCTTTTTGAAACTATATCAACATTAATAATTTTGTTGTACAATTTACTTTAATGCATCATTATAAATTTTTTTATTTAACTGAAAAGTGTCCCACCCACTTTTTTTGTTGACTGTACTGTTTTTACTTTTTGCTTAAAATTAATGTTGCATCTTTCTTTTTTTTCTTTTTTTTTTTCAGTGAAATTGGCAATGTGGGAGGTAGCACTTGAAAAATATATTGATAGTATGGAGTGGGTAACTGAGGTAATAATAAAAGGTTTATATAACATTGTGAATTCTGTTATATTTTAAGAGAAAATCTGTGGTTTTTTAATAAATATCACCAGAGACATAGCTAGGGTAAGTGAAGCTTTCGTGCCCCCTTTTGTTTGCCAAAATGCAATAGGAAAGGAAAAGAAATTTTTTTAAAATAATTATATTTTAAGAAAAAATTTCTTAAAAATATTCACATATAATACAGCAAAAACTTGAACCTTACATTTGATATAATGTAATAGCCTGAAAATGAAGTTAATATAAAATTTTAAAAAAAATAGTTTGTTGTATATTGCTTTTAATTATTAATTTCAAAAAGAAATTTTCCTAGCCTCTGCTGCTGCAAATTTATTGATTAGTTCATCAAAATATATACTGTGGTTAACCTCCCATTCCACAGTGAGCAAAACCAAGACTGACAACCTTTCTTGTGTCATGAATAATCTCAAGTAGGCCAAGGTAAGTTTTAATTTACTGAAAGATCTTTCACAATTGGCAAGGGAGGTTCCATCTGTCAGTAAAAGCTGAAGACCTACTCTCAGATTTGGGAATACATCTTTCTCATATTATGCAATAAGGCGAAGGATGTCCTCTGGCATTGATAGCTTAACATCAGATCTTGTCTTGAGTAGCATTCAACAGTCCATTAATTCAGTATACAACTCTAAGCCATCCAGGTCTGTATCACAGAAGTTTTCCATGATAATGCAACTCTGTTTCAAGCTATGTTCATAGCCTGTATAGTCAATGAAAATAGCATAGTTCATTTATATCTAAAACAAAAGCCACTTTGTTCAATCTGTCTCCCATTTCTGTGTAAATTTTGACCATCATACTTTTCAGCAATCTTAGCATTTCATTTTCTGCTGTAGGCCCTACGTCCTTTGCAATTTCTCCAGACATTTTCTTCTTCTTTCTGAATCATCTTTCAACTTTGACCTCATAAGTATAATACAGTTCCTTCTTCAGGAGATTTCATGCATATAGTATTGCAGTTTTTTATACAAAATACTCTTGTAAAGCCTGAACATCACGAGCAGCATTGTGGAAATTGATAGTGTGCTTCTGAAGTCTTTTCTGAACACAGTCGATCTTAGCAAGTACAGTATTCCAGAATTGAAGAAGGAAAAAAACTCAAGAGGTTAAGATCCAGTGCAGCAACTGAATTGCATTACTTCTTCTATGTGCATTTTCATTATGATACACTGCAATAGTTTCAAATAGTTCTACAAACTTTTCAAACTGATCATGTACGAGTTTAACAGCTTCTACTCTGACACTCCAACAAAATTCTGATTCTAACTTCACTCTTACATCTAGAGCAGAGTTCAGTCTTTTCCATCAAAGAGTTGACCTTGAAAAACAAACATAGGTAGCTTGTACAGTACTAGAAAACATTGCAGCTGCTACCTCATGACTAGCAGCATGAAGCCAAACTAAATTACGTGTATGCTTATCACAGTTAACAAATGTAGCTTTTGAGTTAACTACTGTAACTCTTTGTTGCACTTCTGTTTGTAGTCGGACGTTACAGGTACATTGTTATAGCACTATGATCGATAGTCTTTGAAAGCTAATTTGTCCTTCTCTAGTTATTTGCAATATTACACCCGTAATATCTGCTGCATCTTTTTTATGGGTTTAGATGAATCCTTTATAACTGCAGTTCTTTTCCTTCCAAGTTAATATCTATATGTGTAATAGTATGTCCAACATTTGCTCGTGGTATGCAGAGTGGAATCAAACATTATACCATAGTATTTGGCACTTTGGATATCATATGCAAGTTTTCCTCTATTGTAATAGCCAGAAGCAGGATAAATTCATTTTGTATTTTTGGTGAGATATGGTAGTTGATCCTGGATTTTCTTGCACATACGAAAGATGGCCCTTCATAGTTGGATTGAATTCTGCAATAAACATCAGAAGTTCTGTTATATTTCTAGCATTTCTTTGACTCTCAACAGTATTCTTGTTAAAAATCTGACTCAATCTTCCTGGATTAGGCGCACTAACGGCCAAGCAGTGAAAGCCACTGAACACTGGTAGTTTGATCCCGGCAAATGGGCTAGCTGCATAGGCCACGTGGATACGAGCCAGTATTTCTTTAAAAAAATCTCCATGGGGCCTCCCTCCTTATCCATGTCATGCCTATAGGTGGAGCAGGTATAATAAGTTTTAAAAAAAACTCACTGGATTTGAAGTGAAGTAACACTGAACTAAAGAGACATTTTGTTATCTTTGATTTTCAACTGTGACTTAGTAACGATAAATATGATCATTTTTAAGTGTATAATTCCTTTGGCTATAAATTAAATATTATTTAATCATTAATAGATTTCTTAGTTATTTATTCAACAGCTGTTAAGCATCAGTTAGATGTGCGAGAGCTCCATAGAATAGTTCGATCCTACAACTTTCTCTGTAGTCTCTTAGGACTAAATTTTGTTTGGCTAAATACTGTATGCAGTGCAACAGCCTCTTAAGTACTTCTAAAGATTTTTCCTTCTCTGTAGCAATTTGATTTTGAAGCTGTGCATGTATTAAACTCTCTTATCAGCTTCCTTTCTATTTCTTTCCAAGTTGTGCAAGAATTCCTGTGCCTTTAGGAATTATCACGTATAATACCTTTTCTGGTTTCTTCCAACTGTTTAAACCACTTTCAGTCTGGGGCAAAATCACAGATTATGGTTTAAAAATATGAAATTCCTGCTGCCTGGTCAAAGTTCAAATATCCGAAGTCACAATGGTGAATCACGCAAGCTGTCATTTCAGTACATATTGGCTTGTCTTGTTGAACTACATCATCTTCAGAATTTGATTTATATTGGCATTCCATTTTATTTAAATACATTTTGTTGTTTGCATCTCTACTAAGCCTACTGGCTCAAATATTTTAATAGAATGATTTGTTGTGTATATCGTTACATCTTCTACTGATTTTGATGTCAATGATTCAGAATCTTTATTGCTTTTTCAGGATTACTGTCAAAATTTTGTTTGACTTCTCACATTCTTCATTCTGAGCCTTCGTCTGCTTCCTGCCTTCTGCTCCACTTAATTTTTTTCTGCTGTGCTCGTTTAATTTTTATTGAATACCTTTAGAAAAATGGAATATATAGTTTCGATTTTTATATTTTTATTGACTAATTCATAAAACTCATAAGTTTTTAATGGCTGAAAACTTATGTAAGCTATTTTTGTCTGAGAGTTATGTAAAAGTGATAGATACGATATGGATTTTTCTAGAAATGACACTGCCCAGAAAAGTTGATTAGAAAAGGAAAATACCTAAACTAAACTGAAGTTTTAAGGGCTATCACAAATTTAAGTTAGAATTTCAATTTACATATTTTTTTTATCTTGCACATCCCCCCTCCAATCAAATACAGAAAAACATTTTCAAAGGAAAAGCATTATAGCATTAACCCACGAGCGCGCGCACTGGGTCCAAAGGACCCGCGCGATTAAGCAAACCTTTCTCAAAGCGCACATATTTCACCTAAGTTGTTGAGGTCCAATGTAGTTGTGTTTTAGGTCAACCTCTTTATGTTTACGAAGTTTTTCCCGTTGGGACTTTATTTGGAGTCCCGATTTTGATGCGATCAGGTCTTTTAGACCCAGTGCGCCTATTCGTGTTACTATTTCATAGTTGATTTGTGATAGTATAGAAAGTGGCAAAAATGTCACGTTATTTATTATACAACGAAGAAATGTTGCAAAAGTTATCAAACGTATCAACTGGCGAAGAATGTATTGAAGAAAATGAGGATAGAAGTGATCATGAGCTTTAATTCACATGATTTTGATTTAGACATTGATATAGATTTTGAAAACAAGTGTGAGAAAGACATAAATTTTTTGGAGGGAAAAAAATTATCGGAAGAAAAAAAAAGTAAATAAGAAATGCATTGTTTGTCCAGCAAAAAAAAAAAAAAGAAACGCATTCTGCCAAATGTGAAAAATATTTGTGTTTGGAACACACGAAAACACTTTCTTCAATTTTCTCTGGGCTAATAAATAATTAGATATTCTATTCCTTTAAGAAATTTTGTTTCATAAAAGCATTTGGAGAAATTAAAAATTTTAACTTGCATATTTTTTTAAAATTTTATCATAAAATTTATTATTGACATAAATGTCAAATATTTTTTCTGAATATTCACAGCATTTTCTTCATTAAACAAGAACTGGGTCTTTTGGACCCAGTGTGTGCGCTCGTGTAACTCATATGAGTGCGTACACTCGTGGGTTAAGAAAGGAAGAGAAATATAATTTTGGAAAATATAAATCATAGGGCCAGAGAAAACACCTGCAGCAAATTATTTGCTACAGATTATTATTGCTTATGGAATATGCCACAGTGCTAATCTATTCATTTCAACAGAAGAATGTTTCTTACTATACAAGCATATGTCAGCAGGAATTTCAGGCATTGTATGAGCTTTTAGAAAATTACTTGCAGTTGTCATAGATTCGAAGTGGTAAATTGTCTTTTGATGAAGATTTGCTTTTACTTTCATCTTTGTCCAATTTTTGAAAGGCTGGTAAACAAGATTTCCTTTCCCATCTCGATTTCGACAAAAAAGTGTGCATGATAAACAGTATGCACTGCCCATACTTTGATTGTAAACCATCCAAGAGTATATATGAAGTCATTCATGTTGGAAACTCCTTTTTTTTTCAGTCAGGCATTTCTATTTTTAGAAATACATAAGAATATGGTGGCTGAAATTATTTGTGAGGAGTGCAAATTTGGTGTCTTCGCTAGTAAATTGTAGTTTGTTTCAAAGAAACATAGTACTGATGTCTGAAGCATGTGTAGGGACCAATAGAAAAGATAACATCTGTTGGGAATTTTAATGTTGTGACAAAGATGTAGAGAGATTATGAAGGTAGCTATTTATATTTCTGCCCTTGGCAACAGTAAATGTTGCTAGGCGACTACAGACAATTCCAATTGAAAGTTTGATATTTTTAACCATAAC